CTCTCCCCGCAGGGCCGTGTGGCGGGCTCGGCACGTGCTACCTGGCTTCCCCCTCCAACACCCCCACCTGCGCCTGCAACGCCGGCATGTTCAACGTGCTGCTGTCCATTCAAGTGGGCAAAGTGATCATCAGCTACCCCTCGTGCTCGCCCAACCAAGGCCCCACCGCACCTCGTAAGTCCCTCTTACCCCGCCACTCCACTTCGCTTTGTTTCTGCGTCCATTCTTTTGTCTCTCTCCCGTCCCCCTGTTCATACCTTGCATAGCCGCACTCCACTCCTCCCTAACCCCCCTCCCGGTCCCCTCTCCCCTTTCCTCCTCCGTCCCCCCTCCATCCCTCAGCCCCGCCCACGATCGACCCCGGGACGATCAAGAGGCGCGAGTACAAGGGAGCAAAGGACACGTCCGCCATTGTCTCCAGCTCCTACTACAACAAGTACTTCCGCTACGCCTCCACCAGCTTCACCGGCAACTACACCACGCCTCTCTGGAACATCAACCCGGCCGTTGACTGGCGCGCGCGCATCCCGGCTACTCTAACTGGCGCCAAGGACCAAGGCCTCTGCTGTAAGCCGTTCTCCACTTCCCCGGAAAATATCTCAAGTTTTTGTTTTTTTTTTCCCTCGCTGCTGTGTCGCTCCCCTAACTGTCCCCAGCTATTTTCTCACTCTCCTTCTCATTCTCTCCCCCCCTCTTGCTTCCTCCCTTCTCCCTTCTCCCTCTCTCCCCCACTTCCTCGCCTCCTTCCCTCCCTCTCATGCAGCCGCCTGCTGGGTCTTCGCGCCAGTGGCAGCTATGGAAGCCCTCTACGCAATCGTCTACAACGTGGCACCACCCAACATCTCAGAGCAGAAGGCCATCGACTGCCAGGGCACGTGGGACTGCGAGGGCGGCCGCCCCGACGACGCCTTCAACTACATCGCCGCTTCCGGAGGCCTGCCAACCCGGGACACCTACCCGTACACCGGAATTCTCAACTCTGGATCGTGCATGGTCACCAAGCGCTCACTTTCCCTCCGCCGCCTCCTCTCCGAAGACGCTACCATCTCCACCTCCTCCCTCCGCCACCTCTCTGACTCCCTTGATTCCTCCTCTTCCTCTACCGCCTCGGTTTCTCCCGACTTGGCCAATCCCTCGGACATTTTCTCTCGCGCCATTCGCAGCCTCAAGGCCAAGAAGGCCGCAGCGCCTGTGCTGATGCCTCCGGCACCGTACGCGATTTCCATGTTTGAGACGGTGCAGATCGGCGGGTGGATCGGGCTGGCTCTCACGGTGCAGCAGCAGCCCGCTGTAGCCTACATTGCTGCCTCGGCCGAGTCTTTTATCAAATACCCTGGGGTACGTCACAGGGTACCGAACGTGTTTTTGTTTCTTATGTTTCTCTTTTTTCTTCCTCTCCTTTGGCCTCTCTGCTTCTTTCTGGTCGTGCTTTCCCTGGCAACCCCGCTTATTCTTGATGTTTGTTTTTCTCCTTTTTCCGCGGTTGCAGGGCTTTGTCTACGCGGATCTGAACTGCTTCGCAACTGAAGTGGTGGACCATCTGGTGGTGGTGGTGGGGTTCAACCTTCTGGACGCCACGCCCCACTGGATCATCCGCAACTCATGGGGCCCATTGTGGGGCGAGAATGGCTACATGAAGATCGCCATTGCGGGCGGTCCGGGCATCTGCGGCATGCACACCATGCCGGCAATGTATCCGGTCCTCCAGAGTAAGATTCCCTTCCCTCACATGTTCCTTCCTCTCTTCTCCTTCCCCTCCAGCTTCCTGCTTGTCTTCCCTCGGCCACCTCCCGTTTTCCGACTTCTTAGCCCCACTCCTTGGGGATTCCAACCCCACCTCCCTCCCTCCCTGCCTCCCCTCTGCAGCGCCGGATCCCTGCAAGCCGAACCCGTGCGGAGGCGGAGTGTGCACGCCATTCAAGGGCAAGCCATACAAGAACAAGTGCACGTGCCCGGCCAACTTCATGGCTGTCACCAACCTTGACAAGACCCAGTCCTGCACCATGAGTACGCCTCCCTCTCTACCCTCCTTTCACGTCCTCTCCTCCCTCTTCCACGCTCCCTGCTCATTCCTTGCTGCCCTGCCCGCTCTGCCTTCCCCCCCCCCCTCCCTATGTTTTCCCTTGCCAATCCTCCTGTCTTACCCGCCTCTCTCTCTTCTCCCCTCCTTCCCCCTTCCTTCCCCCCCTCCACCCCTTGCCTCCCCGTTTCCCCCACTACAGCGCGAGTCTGCGCCTTTTTTGTGATGAACCCGTGTGGCTTTGGCACGTGTGTGGATGACATGGTGGGCGGCTACACGTGCCTCTGCTCCCTCGGCTACCAAGTCGGCGCCCTCACTGATGGCTCCACCACCTGTGTTCCTGGTCAGTCCCCTCCCCTGCCCTTCCTCGCTCTTGCTCTTGCTCTCTCTCGTCCCTCGTCTCTCCCCTGACTCCCAGTCGCCCAGCATCCCTTTCTCTCTCCCTCCGTATTTACTAATATCAACCTTGGTGCCTGCTCCTCTCCTGTCCACTCCTACCCTCCTCTTGGTCCTCTGCCCCTTTTCGCTCCCCCTCTAACTCATGCAGCGCCGCCATCCATGACGGTGGTCATGCCGGTGGCCATCAAATGCGCCCAAGTGCGTTCTACCTACATCATGTCCAAGGCTGATTTCACCACCCTCAACCCGGTTTGTCTCTCTCTCCCACCTTCCTTGCTGCTCACTGCTCAGTCCTCATCATTCAATTCCTGCCCCTCGATTGCCTTCACGCGCCGTGCCGTGCCTTCAGCGCGTTTCTCATAAGTGGCTCCTAACATGCACTCTCCAATTGTCCTCGCCGGACATGCGCCCTCGTTCCAAATCTAAACCAATCCTGTTGCCGTTCTCCTCCGTGTCCATCCACCCCCTGCCCTTGTCCCACAACTCCTTTCTCCCCAACCGCAGACCATTTCCTGTGTGAAGCCGATCCCAGCAGGCGCCACGGTGGTTGTGCGCAACTCAACGGGCACGCAGTACGGCTGCGTCACGCCCTACACCGTTGGACCCGTAAGTCCACGCTACCCTGCCTCTGCTCGCCTTCCTCTCCCCTACCCTCCCCTCTCCCTCCCCTTCATTTCTTCCTAAACCCTGTCCACCACTTTCCTGTCCTTAACCCTCTTCTCACTACACGCACCGCTTTCCACCGCAGGGCGACACGTGCGACACGGTCTCAACCATGTTCAACCTCACAGTCGACGGGCTCAAGACAATCAACCCCGACCTGGACTGCGCTGGACTCATGATCGGGCAACTCCTCTGCGCGCAAATCGGCAGCCCCCAGAACCAGTCGTGCCTCTCGTACTACTACATCAACCCCGGGGAGACGTGCAACGATGTGATGATCAACACGCAGCCGCCTATTTCAGCCACGCAGCTCTACCAGTACAACCCCGGAATCATCTGCACTTCTGACGCTTCTCAGCGGCTTGTCGGCCAGCAGGTACGGTGCCTGAAGAGGTCCTTGCTGCTTTGCTTCCCGTTCGGAAGGACGTGACTTTTGAGTCGACTCAGAAGTCACTTCTGACGCTTCTCAGCGGCTTGTCGGCCAGCAGGTACTGTTCCTGAAGAGGTCCTTGCTGCTTTCCCTTCCTCTCCTGCTTCTCATGCTTTGCTCCCCGTTGCTCCCCGTTCGTAAGTCCTTCCTCTCACTCTCCACCTTTCTCTGACTCATCTCCTCTTTTTCTCGCTCTGGCGGTCTCCTTCTCTGTCTGCAGGTCTGTGTGCAGTCGCTGACAGTGGGAGCAACGAGGTGCCTGTACGGAACCTACACAGTCGTTCGCGGCGACACGTGCAGTTCGGTCATATGCAAGGTGTTCCGCTGCAAGTCCTCCCTCATGTACTATTACAACCCCGGCTTCACCTGCAACCGCTACACGCTCTATGTTGGAAAGGTCCTCTGCAGACCCCGCTGATCCACCTCAGCCTCTGCCAGCTTCGCTTGATTGTATCCTTGGCCTCAACGTTCGGTTGTGTCAACTCGAAGCCCTTCTTTTCGGCACAGCACCGGTGTTGCTTGTCCAGCTGCTGTTTTCCCGCTTCTGATTTAGCTTGTCTTGCCACCCCGGTTTTACGCCTTGGAATGGAAGGGCATTGGCATGGATTTGATGTTGTGGCATGGGATGTGGTGTGCCTGTTGACGCTAGGCAGCAAACAGGCCACCATACCTGTGTGCTGTTCATTTGTTAAATTCTTTGTTTTTGTTATCCCAATTGCGGAATACTGGTGTAGATGGTCATAAGGCCTTTTTAGATTGATCTGGCGGGCCAGCTGCCTTGATCTGGCCTCCATGCCCTGAAGTTTCTTGTCATGATTGTAATATATGAAAGTGTTGCAATTGCTGTAGACCGATTCTGTTCTTGTAAGGGCATGCCAACCCGAAATGTTCCTAGATCGATGTGAAGTGAATCGATGGTGCACTTGAATGCAATGCAACTAGACACTTGCACAATCGGGCAAGCAGTGCAGATACACGTAGTGACACTGTTGAAGGTGGCTGCGCAAAAGCAGTCTTCAATTTTGTTTTGTCACGGTACTACAGTAAACTCCACCTTATGCACTGCGTTTTGAGTGTGATGTCAATCCATAAACCGTCAGAAGGTATTGCTGGTGAAACAAGGAATTCAAGGTGCATCAATAAAGAAAATAGTCAGTCGATCAGGCATACAAAACTCATATAATACACGTGTCAGAAGAACCCACTTCTGCATGAAAAATGCTACAGAAACGGCCACCCACCACCAGTCAGAGAAATTCATCAGGCATGATACAATACAAACATGGAGTACTGTAGCGAATCAAGGCTTGCCACAGCATGGCATGGGCAGGGCATAACAACCTGCATTGACACAACAGACCAAACGAATCCAAGCATGCGCGATGATCCAAGCTGCTTCGGAGCAAGCAGAACCCACGGGTTTGTTGTTGCAACGTAGAAAGTGATTGGTGTACAAACGCATGCTGGTTTTAGGGGGTAGCCGACCGTTTACACAACATTCTGCTGCTGCTGCTGCTGCTGCTGCTGCTGCTGCTGCTGCTGCGGTCGACGTAGCTCCGAGAGCTCGCATGGTACCAACCACACCGCCTCTGCTGCTTCGGGACTGACCCTGCCACCGCCACTGCTGCTGCCACTGCCACCACCACCACCAAACCATGCTTCAGCCCCTTTGCATAGACTAGCAACTTTAAAACAACTCCAATAGCTTCCAGCCCACAGCCCCCCTTTGCAACCGACTGCACCCCACTCCACCCCACTGCAGCACACACATAGCACACACATAGCACACAAGCAGCATCTGGTTCTTTCTATGTCGGCCTTACTCCCTTGGGCAGGCACACTTGGTACCCTACTCGTAGGGTGGTCGGGCACACCGTGTTGCTATTCAGCTGCACATACAGCCGCGCAGGCGTCGTCTTGGCTTTCGCAGCGGGCGTGCGGAAATACTTCATGTATATCGAAGCACACGTGTCGCCGCGCTTGGTGTAGTAAGTGGCATACGCGCATTTGAACGCGGAGAACGGGAGAGAGGCGAGGCAGACCTGCTGGCCCCCCAGCCCGTCTCCCGGCTTGGTCGGAACGAGGTTGTTGCACATGAGGCCCGGGTTCATTGCAAAGAAGTCAAAGGGAGAGAGGGGCGGCCGAGCTTGGACTTGCATGAGGGAGGCGCATGTCTCGCCGTCCGCCACGTCGTGGTAGCGCGTGCAGAGAGGGAACTGGTATGCCTTCCCTCGCGCCACACAGATCTGAGGAACAGAGGAGAGCGGAGCAAAGAGATTGGGGCAAAGGGGTTTTGAAGGGAAGTGGAGGTTTGAAACGTGTCAAATGGTGCTGGCAGGGAAGAAACTGGCACGGTTGCCCTCGAGCCACACAGATCTGAAGAGCGGAGCAGAGATTAGGGCGGGCTAACGGGTTTTGCAAGGGAAGGGAGATATAAAACGACTCAAACATTGTGAGCAGAGAAGGAATTGGTATGGCTGTTTTTTAGATAAACAGGCGGAAGAGCCGAGACTGGGGCGAAAGGGACGAGTGCTGTTTTCAGTCTCAGAGCTGCACTGTCCAAGTCATCCTGAACCGCTGTCCTTCTTTGGTATGGATAAGGTGACTGTCTCGTCTTGGCTGCGCTTACCTGGATGCCAACAATGAGACGCGAGCAGTCGAGTGCGGGATTGAGAGACGCGAGGTCTGCACCAGAGGACTTTTGAGACGTCTCAAAAGCTGTATCGGCTGGGCTGGGCTGGGCTGGGCTGGGCTGGGCTGGGCTGGGCTGGGCTGGGCTGGGCTGGGCTGGGCTGGGCTGGGGTGGGCTTACCTGGATGCCGATGATAAGTCGCGAGCAGTCGAGTGCGGGATTGAGAGACGAGAGGTCTGCAGCGGAGATGTTGAACGTTGCGGCTATGGAGTCGCATGTGTCGATCTGTGTTGTTTGGAGCCACAGGGGAAAGAAACGAGAGGTGATAAGAAAGGAAGCCAGAAAATAAGAGCATGGTGTGTGTGTAGCACATGGCATGGTGGGTGCAGCATGGCATGGTGGGTGCAGCATGGCATGGTGGGTGCAGCATGGCATGGGGGAAAGGCGTGCCAGGGTGAATGGGCACCGCAAGTTCTGCGGCACCTAAGAGGTTCAAGAATGGCGTGGGAGTGGCGTACCGGAGTGACTGTGTAGGGGAGTGAGCATGGAGCGAGCGAGGAGTCGGAGATGTCCAGCAGTGTGCTGGGAGGAATGTCTGTAGAGCAGTCTAGGTCCTGAGGTTTGCAGAGAAGGGGCGCGAGGGAGGAGAATGGGGAGATGAAGAGGGAGGGGAGGAGGGCGGGGAGGAGGGAGGGAAGGAGGGAAGGAGGCGAGGGGTGGAGGCGGGAAACATAGGGGATGGGTGGTGAAAGGATGGACAACGGGTGAGCGTGAGAGCAGAGAGCAGCAGGTGAGTGTGAGAGCAGGGAGCAGCAGGTGAGTGTGCGAGAAGCAGCTTGGTGTGCACTGGAAACCCACCGGGTTCTTTTCCTGAAGCTCAGCCTGAGTGAAGCCATAGCTGATGGCCAGCGCGTAGCACGTGACTCCAGGGCCTGTGATGAGATACGTGCCCTTGTCCTCTTCAGAAATTACTGCAGCGGGGACAAGAGGCAAAGAGACAAGGGCAGGAAAGGCTTTTGAGTCGCCTCCAAAGGCATAGCAGGTGGCGCCAGGGCCTGTGATGAGACACGTGCCCCTGTCCTCTTGCAGAATCACTGCGACAGGGAGGAGAGGAAAGAGCAGAAGAGGCCTTTGAGGCGCCTGTGATCAGATAGGTGCCGGTGTCACTTTAGAGATCAGTGCAGCAGGGAGGAGAGGCGAGCATGGCAAGGGAATGGGAACGGGAAGGGAAGAAGGAGTGGGGAATGGCCGAGGGAAGGACGCGGCAACGGGTGGTGCGTTGAGAGCGGAGGGAAAGTGTTCAACGAGGGTGGATGGATGGGAAGTGACACAGGGCTGGCAAGTCGTGCATGCTAGACGTTTGCGCACTTGAGTGGATGAGAGCGCTCGCGAGAGAGTGCGGGGAGATGGGGAGATGGGAGTGGAGAGAGAGGGAGGGAGCGAGGGATGGAGAGAGGGAGGGAGCAGCGTACCAGGCACGCAGGTGGTGGTGCTGTCCGCCTTCATGCCTTGAATGAATCCCGGGGGGCAGAGATAGAAGGAGTGGAGAGGAAGGGATGGATGGAGAGAGGGAGGGAGAGAGAAAGAGCAGCGTACCAGGCACGCAGGTGGTGGTGCCGTCCGCCTTCATGCCTTGAATGAATCCCGGGGGGCAGAGGCAGGAGAAGCTGCCCTTGTTGTTGTCCACACACGTGCCCACCCAGCAGGGGTTCGTCTGGTACAGCGCACACACACGCACTGCCACGGGGGAGAGAAGAGAGAGAGAAAGAGAGAGCAAAGGGTTAGTCTTACCTTGAACGCATTCCATCCTTGCATGTACTAGCTGCTTATTCAATACAAGGACCATTAGAGAAAGAGAGAGAGAGAGAGAAAGAGAGAGCACGAGAGGGAGAATGAGAGAGAGGGGCATGCGCGGTGGTGAGGAGCAGATGGCGACAAATGGCCCCCGACGCTATCATCCAATCCTTTAAAAATACTTCAAAAGCACCCGAATCCCCCACCCTTTTCCCCCCCTTCCCCACCACCCCCGTCCCCGTTTCCCAAGCGTACGAGGAGAGCAGGACTGGGAGCCATCCACGTTGTCAACGGCAACAAAGCCGCGGCGGCAGCGGCACTGGTTGGACTGAGAGCCGTCTAGTTCCGTCACCACGGTGCATGCCCCGCTCCCACACGGGTTCGGCTGGCAGGGGGACGGGCCTGGGATGGGGGGAGAGGGAGAGGGAGGAGATTTTTGAGTCAGCTCGAAAAGAGAGCCGTCTATTTCGGACACCACAGTGCACGCCCAAAGAGATTATGACTGCTACCACACCACATGGGTTCGGCTGGCAGGGGGACGGGCCTGAGATGGGGGGAGAGGGATGGGAAGAGAGGGATAGAGGGAGAGAGCAATGGGGAGAGAGGGATGGGGAATTCCCAAAAAGCCAACGAGTCACCCTGAGACATCTCAAAACCACGAAGCGCAGCATGTACGCACGGACCGGCAACAACGGGGTACAGAACCAGTGTGGCATGAATCCCACAGACGCCCGCACCACCGTTGCTGCTCGGGGTTTGCTGCAGCCCGCCCACCCACCCACCCACCCACCCACTGCAGTCCCGGGCACGTACCGGCAACAACAGGGTAGAGGGCCGGGGTCGCGTAGATCCCACACACGCCCGCACCGCCGTTGACGTCGATCGCCCCGGTGGGGTCAGGGCGGGCGGTGATGGCCATGCGCATGTACCCGTCGTCGCCCCACTCCGTGCCCCAGCTGTTGCGGAGAACCCAGCACTTACGTACCAGCAACAATTTCCTTCTGACACATCTCAAAGCCGCAAAGCCCAGCACGTACCGGCAACAACAGGGTAGAGTGCCGGTGTGGCATAAATCCCACAGACACCCGCGCCGCCATTCACGTCGATGGCCCCGGTGGGGTCAGGGCGGGCGGTGATGGCCATGCGCATGTACCCGTCGTCGCCCCACTCCGTGCCCCAGCTGTTGCGGAGGATCCAGTAGGGCTCGGGCGCGAGCACATTGTACCCCACGACCACCAGGTTGTGCGATACGAGGCCCGATGCGAAGCAGGCTGGATCGTTGTACACATAGCCCTGTGGTTGGGGGAGAGGAGGGGAGAAGAGAAGAGAAGAGAAGAGAAGAGAAGAGAAGAGAAGATAAGAGAAGAGGGGAGAAGAGAAGAGAAGAGAAGAGAAGAGAAGAGAAGAGAAGAGAAGAGGGGAGAAGAGGGGCTGGGGAGTTAGGGGCTGAATGGTGGGGGATCCTGTTGTGCAGAATCCACTCGGGCTCGGGCGCGAGCACGTTGTACCCCACGACCACCAGGTTGTGCGATACGATGCCTGAGGCGAAGCAGGCTGGGTCGTTGTACACATAGCCCTGTTGCGGAAGGGGAGAGAGGAGAGGGGAGGGGTGGGGAGGGAAGGACAGGAGTGCTGGGGAGTTAGGAGCTGACAGTGCTCGTCGCCGTGAGAGGGAGAGGGGGAGGGAGAAGGGGGAGAGCGCGGAGCAGTGGAGGGAAAGGGAGGGAGGAGGGGGGGCCTGTTGCGGAGAATCTAGTGGGGCTCGGGCACGAGCACGTTGCCTGCACACCCACACCCACACCCACACCCACACCCACACCCACACCCACACCCACACCCACACCTACTTACCCCCAGGAACCTCGGAAAACACCCGTCCCCCCACCTCACAGCAAGCAGCACTCACCCCGGTGAACTTCTTGAACGACTCGCTGTCGGCGGCAACACTAACCACCACAGGATGCTGCTGCACAGCCAGCGCAATCCCAAGCCAGCCGTAGAAGCTGATCTGCTCGTACACGAGGGGGATGCGGTACTGCCCCTTCACGCCCTTGCACTGGTCAGTGCTGTCGGACTCCCCGTCGAACGGGTACTCGTCTTCGGAGCAGAGCGCGTTGGAGGAGACGAGAGGGGGGGACGCGAGGAGGCGGAAGGCGTCTCCTGGGAAGCCGCCGGAGGAGCAGTCGCCCTTGGCGCAGTCCAGCACCTAGAAGAGGAGGAGGAGGGGAGAAGAAAGGGAAGCAGGGGGGGCAGGGGGGAAAGGGGACCTTAGAGTCCTGACGTGCCTCAAAGGGGACCCTTCACGCCCTTGCACTGGTCGCTGCTGTCAGACTCCCCGTCGAACGGGTACTCGTCTTCGGAGCAGAGCGCGTTGGAGGAGACGAGAGGGGGGGACGCGAGGAGGCGGAAGGCGTCTCCTGGGAAGCCGCCGGAGGAGCAGTCGCCCTTGGCGCAGTCCAGCACCTAGAAGAGGAGGAAGAAGGGAAGGGGGAGAAGCGAGGGGTGGGTGAGGGGGAAGGACTTCTGAGTTTTTGAGGCGTCTCAAAACGAAACCGCTGGAGGGAGAAGTCACCCTTGGCGCAGTCTTGCACCTTGAAGGAGAATGATAGAAACAACACACAAAAGAAAGGAAGAGGAGAAGAAGAGAAAGAAGAGGAAGACGAGAAGAAAGAGGAAGGAGAGAAGAGGAAGGGACGGTGAGGTGATTACCTGTTGAGTGGAGAGAGGTGGCACGGAGGGCAAGCGGTTGGCGATGGCATAGGCGCTAGCGACGGTATCCACTGCTGCGAACGCCCAACACGCCGCTGCAGGGAAGGAGAAACACACACAGGCAAGCAAGGCAAAGGGAAGACTTCAGAAGCGGGAGGGTATGGAGTGGAAGCGGGTCATGAGTTGACAGACAGACAGGGACTGCCGTGCACCGACAGACAGGGACTGCCGTGCACCGACAGACAGGGACTGCCGTGCACCGACAGACAGGGACTGCCGTGCACCGACAGACAGGGACTGCCGTGCACCGACAGACAGGGACTGCCGTGCACCGACAGACAGGGACTGCCGTGCACCGACAGACAGGGGACTGCCGTGCACCGACAGACAGGACTGCGGCCAGGGACTGCCGTGCACCGACAGACAGGGACTGCCGTGCACCGACAGACAGGGACTGCCGTGCACCGACAGACAGGGACTGCCGTGCACCGACAGACAGGGACTGCCGTGCACCGACAGACAGGGACTGCCGTGCACCGACAGACAGGGACTGCCGTGCACCGACAGACAGGGACTGCCGTGCACCGACAGACAGGGACTGCCGTGCACCGACAGACAGGGACTGCCGTGCACCGACAGACAGGGACTGCCGTGCACCGACAGACAGGGACTGCCGTGCACCGACAGACAGGGACTGCCGTGCACCGACAGACAGGGACTGCCGTGCACCGACAGACAGGGACTGCCGTGCACCGACAGACAGGGACTGCCGTGCACCGACAGACAGGGACTGCCGTGCACCGACAGACAGGGACTGCCGTGCACCGACAGACAGGGACTGCCGTGCACCGACAGACAGGGACTGCCGTGCACCGACAGACAGGGACTGCCGTGCACCGACAGACAGGGACTGCCGTGCACCGACAGACAGGGACTGCCGTGCACCGACAGACAGGGACTGCCGTGCACCGACAGACAGGGACTGCCGTGCACCGACAGACAGGGACTGCCGTGCACCGACAGACAGGGACTGCCGTGCACCGACAGACAGGGACTGCCGTGCACCGACAGACAGGGACTGCCGTGCACCGACAGACAGGGACTGCCGTGCACCGACAGACAGGGACTGCCATGCACCGACAGACAGGGACTGCCATGCACCGACAGACAGGGACTGCCATGCACCGACAGACAGGGACTGCCATGCACCGACAGACAGGGACTGCCGTGCACCGACAGACAGGGACTGCCGTGCACCGACAGACAGGGACTGCCGTGCACCGACAGACAGGGACTGCCGTGCACCGACAGACAGGGACTGCCGTGCACCGACAGACAGGGACTGCCGTGCACCGACAGACAGGGACTGCCATGCACCGACAGACAGGGACTGCCATGCACCGACAGACAGGGACTGCCATGCACCGACAGACAGGGACTGCCATGCCATGCACCGACAGACAGGGACTGCCGTGCACCGACAGACAGGGACTGCCGTGCACCGACAGACAGGGACTGCCGTGCACCGACAGACAGGGACTGCCGTGCACCGACAGACAGGGACTGCCATGCACCGACAGACAGGGACTGCCATGCACCGACAGACAGGGACTGCCATGCACCGACAGACAGGGACTGCCATGCACCGACAGACAGGGACTGCCATGCACCGACAGACAGGGACTGCCGTGCACCGACAGACAGGGACTGCCGTGCACCGACAGACAGGGACTGCCGTGCACCGACAGACAGGGACTGCCGTGCACCGACAGACAGGGACTGCCATGCACCGACAGACAGGGACTGCCATGCACCGACAGACAGGGACTGCCATGCACCGACAGACAGGGACTGCCATGCACCGACAGACAGGGACTGCCATGCACCGACAGACAGGGACTGCCATGCACCGACAGACAGGGACTGACAGACAGGGACTGCCGTGCACCGACAGACAGGGACTGCCGTGCACCGACAGACAGGGACTGCCGTGCACCGACAGACAGGGACTGCCGTGCACCGACAGACAGGGACTGCCGTGCACCGACAGACAGGGACTGCCGTGCACCGACAGACAGGGACTGCCGTGCACCGACAGACAGGGACTGCCGTGCACCGACAGACAGGGACTGCCGTGCACCGACAGACAGGGACTGCCGTGCACCGACAGACAGGGACTGCCGTGCACCGACAGACAGGGACTGCCGTGCACCGACAGACAGGGACTGCCGTGCACCGACAGACAGGGACTGCCGTGCACCGACAGACAGGGACTGCCGTGCACCGACAGACAGGGACTGCCGTGCACCGACAGACAGGGACTGCCGTGCACCGACAGACAGGGACTGCCGTGCACCGACAGACAGGGACTGCCGTGCACCGACAGACAGGGACTGCCGTGCACCGACAGACAGGGACTGCCGTGCACCGACAGACAGGGACTGCCGTGCACCGACAGACAGGGACTGCCGTGCACCGACAGACAGGGACTGCCGTGCACCGACAGACAGGGACTGCCGTGCACCGACAGACAGGGACTGCCGTGCACCGACAGACAGGGACTGCCGTGCACCGACAGACAGGGACTGCCGTGCACCGACAGACAGGGACTGCCGTGCACCGACAGACAGGGACTGCCGTGCACCGACAGACAGGGACTGCCGTGCACCGACAGACAGGGACTGCCGTGCACCGACAGACAGGGACTGCCGTGCACCGACAGACAGGGACTGCCGTGCACCGACAGACAGGGACTGCCGTGCACCGACAGACAGGGACTGCCGTGCACCGACAGACAGGGACTGCCGTGCACCGACAGACAGGGACTGCCGTGCACCGACAGACAGGGACTGCCGTGCACCGACAGACAGGGACTGCCGTGCACCGACAGACAGGGACTGCCGTGCACCGACAGACAGGGACTGCCGTGCACCGACAGACAGGGACTGCCGTGCACCGACAGACAGGGACTGCCGTGCACCGACAGACAGGGACTGCCGTGCACCGACAGACAGGGACTGCCGTGCACCGACAGACAGGGACTGCCGTGCACCGACAGACAGGGACTGCCGTGCACCGACAGACAGGGACTGCCGTGCACCGACAGACAGGGACTGCCGTGCACCGACAGACAGGGACTGCCGTGCACCGACAGACAGGGACTGCCGTGCACCGACAGACAGGGACTGCCGTGCACCGACAGACAGGGACTGCCGTGCACCGACAGACAGGGACTGCCGTGCACCGACAGACAGGGACTGCCGTGCACCGACAGACAGGGACTGCCGTGCACCGACAGACAGGGACTGCCGTGCACCGACAGACAGGGACTGCCGTGCACCGACAGACAGGGACTGCCGTGCACCGACAGACAGGGACTGCCGTGCACCGACAGACAGGGACTGCCGTGCACCGACAGACAGGGACTGCCGTGCACCGACAGACAGGGACTGCCGTGCACCGACAGACAGGGACTGCCGTGCACCGACAGACAGGGACTGCCGTGCACCGACAGACAGGGACTGCCGTGCACCGACAGACAGGGACTGCCGTGCACCGACAGACAGGGACTGCCGTGCACCGACAGACAGGGACTGCCGTGCACCGACAGACAGGGACTGCCGTGCACCGACAGACAGGGACTGCCGTGCACCGACAGACAGGGACTGCCGTGCACCGACAGACAGGGACTGCCGTGCACCGACAGACAGGGACTGCCGTGCACCGACAGACAGGGACTGCCGTGCACCGACAGACAGGGACTGCCGTGCACCGACAGACAGGGACTGCCGTGCACCGACAGACAGGGACTGCCGTGCACGACAGACAGGGACTGCCGTGCACCGACAGACAGGGACTGCCGTGCACCGACAGACAGGGACTGCCGTGCACCGACAGACAGGGACTGCCGTGCACCGACAGACAGGGACTGCCGTGCACCGACAGACAGGGACTGCCGTGCACCGACCGACAGACAGGGACTGCCGTGCACCGACAGACAGGGACTGCCGTGCACCGACAGACAGGGACTGCCGTGCACCGACAGACAGGGACTGCCGTGCACCGACAGACAGGGACTGCCGTGCACCGACAGACAGGGACTGCCGTGCACCGACAGACAGGGACTGCCGTGCACCGACAGACAGGGACTGCCATGCACCGACAGACAGGGACTGCCATGCACCGACAGACAGGGACTGCCATGCACCGACAGACAGGGACTGCCAGTGCACCGACAGACAGGGACTGCCGTGCACCGACAGACAGGGACTGCCGTGCACCGACAGACAGGGACTGCCGTGCACCGACAGACAGGGACTGCCGTGCACCGACAGACAGGGACTGCCGTGCACCGACAGACAGGGACTGCCATGCACCGACAGACAGGGACTGCCATGCACCGACAGACAGGGACTGCCATGCACCGACAGACAGGGACTGCCATGCACCGACAGACAGGGACTGCCATGCACCGACAGACAGGGACTGCCGTGCACCGACAGACAGGGACTGCCGTGCACCGACAGACAGGGGACTGCCGTGCACCGACAGACAGGGACTGCCAGTGCACCGACAGACAGGGACTGCCATGCACCGACAGACAGGGACTGCCATGCACCGACAGACAGGGACTGCCATGCACCGACAGACAGGGACTGCCATGCACCGACAGGACGCCAGCCCGACAGACAGGGACTGCCATGCACCGACAGACAGGGACTGCCGTGCACCGACAGACAGGGACTGCCGTGCACCGACAGACAGGGACTGCCGTGCACCGACAGACAGGGACTGCCGTGCACCGACAGACAGGGACTGCCATGCACCGACAGACAGGGACTGCCATGCACCGACAGACAGGGACTGCCATGCACCGACAGACAGGGACTGCCATGCACCGACAGACAGGGACTGCCATGCACCGACAGACAGGGACTGCCGTGCACCGACAGACAGGGACTGCCGTGCACCGACAGACAGGGACTGCCGTGCACCGACAGACAGGGACTGCCGTGCACCGACAGACAGGGACTGCCGTGCACCGACAGACAGGGACTGCCGTGCACCGACAGACAGGGACTGCCGTGCACCGACA